TTAAATTAAATTTAGTGTTGTTAGTACGTCTACCAAAGCAAAAATTTTGGAACGATTATGTGGTTGTCATAACAACGCTGTATCTGCCAAGTTACGTCATCACTGCTATGTTGGATAAACCTGCCATAGGATTTCCTTGCTTACAATTCAAATTCCACCCGACATGCCGGAAATCTCTCGTTGAATCCCCTTGAGATAGGGCTCGTGTTTGTTTACTTTCCATCTACATCTAAATTTCAGTACATTGGGTTGACCCGCTGTATTGTCGCCACTTCATGCTATTGGGTAACTAAAGTTAAAAAAATATTGGTACCGGTTGAGATAAAAAGTTCACATTGTCATTATTATTGCATGATTGACAATTTTCTCCAAAGAGTAATAAAAGACAATGTCTATAGTCCCATTGATTGTTCTCATTCTTATAGCCCAAGTTATGCATAAAATGAGAAACAAATAGCTAATGTGTTCATATAGAAAAAGCCACTGAGCTAAATTAGAATAATGACGAGTGTAAACGAGTTTAAAATTAAAAAGGTTCAGCACTCCAGCAGCATTGTAGTTTATAAACTTGCGAGTAATGCCGCCTGATTTTGTTTATTTATGTACGCAGCCGTTGTACGTTTGGTGTTTACCCTAGTTATATAACAAAATTTGTTGTTCAATTTTTTGAAGTTTAAAAGCTTAAAGACCTTAGGCGGTTTGATCGCTGGTATTCAAACGTTTTTTCAGTCTAAAATTCTTTAAGGAGAATGACCGCTTTTAGGATCGAAGAACAGATTCTGCAAGGACAAGAAGAGTCCAAGAAATGATTAAAGTATCCAAGGTCAACATGGGCATATTCGGAAAGATCTATTGAATGACATATTTTTCATGCCAAGTGGAGAAAACGTAAGCAAGTACGAGTCCGTTAAAAAATATTAGTCAGAATCGCATATTTTCACCTCTGTACATGTCTAATTAGGGCAGTGCATAACAAAAGAAAAAGCAATAATCACGAACTTGTCATAGCTCAGCTAAGATTTATTCCTACTTGACAATAATTATGAATATGTGTGTAGTTTATTGAAGTGAATTCATCAACTTACGTACCAAAGGGGGTTAATTTTTAATGGTTTTAAATTAAAGTCAATTTTCAACGGTGAAAATATGCGATTCTGATTAACATTTTTTTATCGGTTTCGTATTTGCTCATTTTTTATCCATTTCGCATGAAGAACATATCATTTAACTGCTAAATGCCTGATCTAAAAAAATTTCGTTCATATGCAGAGTAATTCAAGTATACAGTAGCGCGCTGAAGTTCGACTACCTTTTTAGTTTATACACACTGTACAACTGCATGACAAATTAAATATAAGCAAAACTTCGACGTTTCGAGCGAAGGCCCTTCATCGAGAAGTTAGTAGGGGTTAGTTACTAGAGAGCTTTAGATTTGACTACGAGTACGACCTACCTCAAAAATATGAATTTGGTGGGGAAAAAAAGGGAAAGGCCTGCGGACTAATTTCAGCCCGAGATTGCGGAAGCCACAAGCCAAATTATATTTATATATCATTTTACAAGAACAATATTATTATTAAAGTTTTTAAATACTACTGATATAGACTGCTTTTCGTATATCCGCAATATAGCTACATAAAACAACGAAAACTGAACAAACAAGCACACATTGATTTACGAAGAGAAGCAGATAAATATCAGTTAATTTGCATATTAAATTCTGAAACAGACACAATCTCGAAACCAGAGCCCGCAATCCTCTGTGGAGGCTTGCTGAGGCTCTGGGAAACACCGGCGACTTTTGCACGAAAATCAGTATACATTTGGATCCAGTACTCCGCTCGACATTTATAAATAGACATTACTGCCGTCAAACATGAATTATGCCGTTGTTTAAGCTTATTACGACTTTAATTCTTCAAAGAATACTTGCCATGTGATGGTTTTGAATTGTTGTAAGATACTGGTAGTGATTTATTTTAACTTGTTTAATTACGGTAAATCATGGATTGTTGTGTTATTTTAATGACCTGATATGGTAATGCTGCACTGTTATTCTAATTTTGTTACTGCATGGCTTTTATATAACACGTCGTATGTCAGGGATGCGGTTTATCCACGAAATTTATTCCATTTATATTTGTCTTTCATACAGTGTAACTTTTTAAATGCGTGTGTATAATGTATATAGTCAAAACATCCCATTTGGCCAAATGATAGATTCACGACGTCTATATCACTGTCGCTTCAGCTTGTAAAACCTTCCATTCTTTGAAGCTTCTCGTCGCTTTTATCCGTCATAACTGCCAAGATGTATTTAGAAAATACTCCCAAAACAGGATTGCTAAAGATTGGCAGACAATGTGCCATACTAGTTTTGAAGAAATTTGAGCCATCTTACGCCATTATACTGTACGTATAAGCACTCGGTATACCTGGCAGTGGAGGCTTGTTTTACTATGAGATTTTTAAATTTCATCAATGCCGTTATCATTTTGGCCACGGCTACAAGACGTCAGTACATATGAGTGTCGAGAGTCACCCTTCTTCCCAGGGCCTATGTATCGGCCACGCGCGTCATTCATAGGCCCTGGGATACACGGGACGGGAAGAGAAAGAAAACTTGTAGTAGTTTCCAATGTCGTTCTCAGAGAATGCCTGTTCGCGCATGCCACTACATAGCGCACGAACAGGCATACTCTGGGAACGAGATTGAGTAGTTGAATACTCTTTTTACAATTTTTACAGACAAGTATTGTGAAGAAACGTTACATTTGTGTTGAGTCAACATATTTTGATAGAATAATTTTGCGTAGTGAAAACTGCTTAACCTCGGCGAAATAATAGTTCTCTGAGAAGCCAATTAGATCTCACACTTTGGTCGTCTTCTCCCGAGCCAAATTTCAACAAGTGACCCAGTGAAAATGGCTCTGGGGACGAGAATGTGTCGAGAAGAAGGTGCTACTTTACTCCGCTCGGCAGCAATAAATCCTCTCGTGTTTCGCGCACAAACAGAAGATCATTCTTTAAGGCCGAAACACACTGGACGCGATTCGACGAGGCGCGATTTTCGATTTTCACTGACCTATGACTTTGATCTTGTTTACGCTTTCCAAATATTTATAAGCGCTATAACATTTTGAGTTATTTGGTCTAAACTAAATATTTTTTAAACATTTCTTTCATTTGCTGTTTTATTAATTAAGCAAACTTTCATAAACTGAAAAATCGCAAATCGCGTCTGGTGTGTCTCGACCTTTAGAATTGGGTAAGATTAGTTCACTACATTCGTGCGCGAAATATAGGAGGTGAACCGCGATAAGACGAACTGAATAGACGATTTATATATCCTACTGAACATCCAACTTTTTAGCTAGTCATTCTACAGCCCAAATTTTACAGTTACCATGCATTTTTGCATGTTGACATTTGGTGCTCGTACATATACATACTAAAAAATACATGCATGCAGCAACCCTTCGCCTTTCTTAACAGGTGATGAAGTATAAAAACGCCACATAAAGTATTAAGACCATCATAAACCAATATAAAAACACAACTCATGCGCCAGCTTAATAACGATAACATTCGCTTCAATTTCATGTTTACCAGCTTGCATTAAAACACATTTATTGTGCATGAATTATCGAGTTTAGAATGGCTTAAAAAGTTCGCAACAACACAATTTCGCGACAACACAAAGCCGGCAAGTACGGAGTGAAATTTTACTACTGAAATGTTTACACTTACCCAAACCGGCACAACAACGATTAAATTATTACTGAAAAACATCAACGTCAAAACAATTATTACAAACTTTGTTTCACGGTTGAACTGCCATTATTTCATGAAACTACAGGCTTATTTCCAGTTAAAATCGAAGACAAAAATGTTTTGTACTTTTGTAAACTTTTTTACGAAATTTAAAACAAAAAAGTTGCTGTAAAACAGCAAAATACGTCTTTTCAAAATGAAATACAATTATTTAGCCAGAGCTTATACTCACGCATACGCATAACGTCGAAAACTGTCCATGACATAAACAAAATGGATGACAACTTTGAACTTCGGTGTGTTTTCACATACTCGGGTATAATTAGCCGGGCGGAATTATTACACTCGACCCGGGCTTACGCCCCAGGGATAAGGTCATGAGTCTTGGAGAATTATACTTTTAACTATAATTCTCATTCTCTTGGAGAATTATAGTTTTAACTATAATTCTCATTCCCTTCTTCATCTACTAATTAAAATTAGTAGATGGATGTCTGTGTCATAGATCAACTTATTTATTTATTTATTTATTTATGATTATATTTACCCAGGATACCCACATCACTAATGTGTTTTTCAGTGGGGTCCTACTTAAAAGTAGCAATATTGTTGATGTATTGCATTTTCGGGTTCCTCCTATAGTTCCGGCCGTGCCCCTTGGCGAATGCCAACAAATCGAGTTATGTTGTCATTTTATAGCCGTGCAAGAAGCGAACGACATTTATTACTCAAGTTGAACAACTTTTTACATACTTCAGTAAAAACACAAATAAATTGCGGTTGTGAATTTGTTATTACAGTATTAACATTATTAATATTAGATTAATTTTGAAATTTATACTATAATTAATTAACCCTACATAAATTATGTCATTGTTCATTATTAAAAAACGTATTGTTATCATTAGCTTGATACATACAGTATATTGCATCATTGCTACTACGTATATACAGAATTATTAATATTAAAGTCTTATTACAACATTACATGAATATTTACCATGTCAATTTACGATGTTTATTAAGTAAATAAAACACTTATAATTTGAAAGAAAAATGGATACATGAAAAGATTACCTTAAGATTGCCAATACCAGCCGACAAGTATACATAAGCGGAAGGTTATCATCTTGAAACCCAAGAGTTCAATCAAAACAAGACGAGAATAAATTAGTAATATTTAGATTAAATTCCAAAGTTATCATCAAACGTCTTTTTAATTAATATTAATTTAATTGTTCGCTCATTCTACGGATAACATCAACGTATCGCTTCTCTCTATCGGTGAAGGCAGATTGAAAATCGACCTTCTGGTGATCAACAGTCTTACTGAACTTGAGCATTTTATAGAACACTTTTTCGTGCTCATCTGACCAGATAAACTCTTTCTTCAATTCACGCCACTTCCTGTTTCCTTCACGCCCTTCTGGTCTATCCTTACTCTCGTCCAGCCATAACATCAGGTTTGCAAAGATTGGACCGAACATGACTTTCGTACGTGGTGGGTAGATGTGTGCGGCAAGGCCATACCCGAAGTTGTTAGTGATCCGTGCTATTTCAAGATTATCGTTTTTCTTCATTAATTCGTCTACCTGGGGCTGGAGTTTCTCCACAATTTTCTCTAAGCGATCAATGCGCTTTCGATCCTCATCCCAGATTTTGTCACTTTTATCTACTTCATTTTCCATTTCTTTTGCCATCTTTTTGTGTTTGATGAAGCAGTTATTTATAGTATGTAATTCTTCTTCCATTCCTTCATAGTTTTTCCGTTTATTTCTTTTAATAACATCTTCAGTTTTCTTGTTACCATTCACCATACCTTCATGTATGTCTGTAGTAAACTTCCGAAGTGTTTCCATTTTTTTCTCCAGACAGTTTTAACAGATTTCCTGTAAAGTACATACCAAATTAATGATAAGAATGTGTATATTTTGCGGCTAATGGAAAATTCAGTTAAGAATAAATTTTCGATGTTAAGAAAGATATACAGGTAAGGTTATATTATTGTATTTGTTTGTCGAAATTTATCAACTGCAGGATAAATAACTAATTTAGGTCAGTAAACCAGTACAGCACACAGCAGGGAGCACCTGGGGCAACCGCTTCCCTTCCTAACTTATTAGACGTCTAGAGAAAAAATGCCTGGTCGAGAATAAGAATGAGCTTGAAGGTTATGAACCAAACACGAAGTACGATAGATTGAAGGACAAACATACGAAACAGTATTTTTGAAAATGTTTCGGTCTACGAGATATGAATCCAAAGGTCACTCACCCATAGGTCAATTATGAATCACACCCCATTTTTCCAACTCCACCCCACCCCACCTCACCCTAGCTCGTTTGACCCTGCAAAAAATAGTCCATCGACATTTTTCATATTCAAATTAAACCACACAATGAAAATGCTTTGGCTTTCATATTTGATTTCCATCATGCTATGTGACTGAAATATACATATCCATTGTCTTAAGATTTTCAACAAGTTTCAACTTTATATGTGCAAAAAATTTAAAATAGTAGCACTTTATCATTTTACCAATGGTCATTAGGACATAAATTTAATAAAAAGAAATAGTGCGGGATAAATTTAATACAACGAAAGAGCATTTTGAAGTTTGCTAATGGGGGCAAAATTCATGTGCAAAAACAAAGAAAAAATACTTTAAAACATTTCTATTGTTCCAAAACTAGCCTGCAAACAGGCACTCCTGGGTAGGGCCTGCACGGAACTATAGGTTTTCTTGGTAGTGGCGTTCGTATAGAAACGCAGGCTTCTGATTGGCTTACACTCGCTGACAAAATTACTAAGAATAGCAAATGTAAACAACAGCATTTTGAACTTTAATACTATAAGACTATCGAACAAAATAAAAATAGAAATGGAAACTAAAAGCAATAGCAAAGCATCACAACAAAAACGCGTACCATAAATGACTTGAATCTGTCGCTTAAATCCAACACACAAAATTATTCTGAACTTCGTCTTCGGATTGACATCAAACTAGCCCATGAGGTCGTCGTATTGCAGACGTCTAATATTGACATATACTAGAGATGGCTTCACGGATTATTCTCGTTAGTGAGCATAGAAAAGATACCCAAATATTTACGATTATATTGTTGATCCTCGCTGGCATGTCATTTAGATAAATATATATCGTGTGAATGGCGTATTAAAGTCGTACATTAAACGTGGTCTAGCTATTTTGCTGGCCGCGGGCTGCGGATCAGCTTTTGCGGGCTGCGGGTTAAAACAAGTGCGGGCCGCGGGCCAAATTGCTGGCCTAACTAATTTTTTGTTGCATGCCATATATGGCATGCAACTTTCATATAGCTCTAAATTTTGTGTCGCGGTGAGCGTACCGGTCACGTGAAAATTCGTAAAATACGACAAATACCGAGTTTTTCCGACGAGCATTTCATCACTCATGCTCGAGGAAAGGCAAAGAAAAATGTTTGAGTGTTCGCGGAAAATTTACATAATTGAGCGCCTTAGAAAAATAGATCAAGGTAGGTAAAGCTTTGCTGGTTTTAATTTTCCTTATATTCTGTTATTTGTTGTGATTCTGGAGCAGTTGTGCTTGCAATGAATGATTATTTATCAGTCGTTTTTAATATTTAATATATCGTGAAGCCTGGCTACGCTATCAAAATACTCAATTAATTTTTTATATATGCTCAAATTGAAACTAACACTTAATACTATATTGTGTGCAAAACTTCAAAACTACAGTAGATTTTGTAAATAACATGAAATATATTAAAATATCAAACAAAATTCTCATTAATACTATTGAAATTTAATACAACAAAATAGCATTCTACGTCGATAATTTCAATCATAGTTTAATAATTATTTTCAATCTATAGTAATTCGCCGTTTCCATGTTTTTTTATACTTTCAATAAAGCTACAATAAAGCTAAATTTGTAGGAAATAACATTATTTAGTTATGAAATAGTATAAAAGGAAATCTAACAGTCAATCGCTTTCGATAAAATTTTGACCTTGTTTATATTACCGTCGTTTGCAACTAACGATGAACAGTCGCTCATAAAAACATTGCCTATTCGCGTGAGAATCTTAAGTTTTCTTATTTTGACATAATATATATTTTTCAATAAATATATTGATATTAAACTTATTGAATCAATATTTCAAGTTTCAGGCCAGTTGTACCAAAAGTTATAAGCGGTAGCGCATCATAACCAGGGCACAGAATTCTTCTATCTTCCGAAAATGACGTCAGGTCAGTTTGATGGATGGAAAATAGTGCAAACCGATTTTGGCATGACCATAATTTATAATCAAAATGCTGACGCCATGGTCCTGGCTGGTGCGCGTTTGGGAGGCATTCACCCACCCCCCTCTCTGATAATATTCAAAATGGCGGACGTCCAGTGGGGAATGTCTCTTGGGCGCGCACTGGCTGAGACCTGGTAGCGGTTACTCGAGTCGACCTTCTGCGTGTCTCTGTTCTGTGCCAGGGGGGTGAATGCTTCTGTTTACGATACTTGCCGAGTGACGAATCATGACGAATAGCACTTACGCAGAAAACAATGGAGATGGATTTCTGTATAGTATTATGAGTCCTGAGGTTTCATGGTTTTGATGGCATGCAACATGTACGCACTCTTACCTATTTTTAATGAAATTATTGACAAATTTCAATGAAAATAGAAATTCGAAGTTTAGGCATGGATAGGAAGGTTGGCACCACTACTATTTTCTTTAGAAATCATTTCGGGTAAAAAGGAATGTTTAAAGCGGTCAGTTTTGTAACTATTAGACATAGAATATACTTCAAAGACAGAAAATGTTGAATAATATTTTTATTTTCTTTACATTTTGACAATATTTTTTTTTAAATTCGTCATGCCCGCAACTATACCCGCGGCTCGCAATCGTGTTAGCCCGCATTTTTCGGCCCGCAGCCCGCATTTTTCGGCCCGCAGCCCGCATTTTTCGGCGCGCAGCCCGCATTTTTCGGCCCGCAAACCGCAAAATAGTTAAACTCCATTAAACGTTGTACTATTTACTGTATAACATGCTGACAATTTTGTCGTCGAACGGCTTCCACTATTGGCACACTCGTGATTTCGAAGAAATTAATAAATACATTAATAAATACATTGCCTCCGAGCGTTTAATCGAACGTGAACGACAGAGCTCCGCAAAATATGGCCTTAAACTCAACAAATCAAACTTATGATCTGTTTGATGTTAAAAAAAACAAATTATTATGGCAAGGAGATCTTTCTCAATTAAAGACATTCGTTGCGAATGAAGTGAATCAAAGAGATGCTGAAAATGCGATATGGCGATCGCCGAGCGGAGGCACATGGTGCTTTAAAGGCGAAGGCGATGATCTGTTAGTAACGTGGCACAGCAAAAGCAAAACGATCTCTTTTGACGGTAAAGCGGCTGATGAAATTAAAGAACGAATTCACGAAGCTATAAGCAACAAATATACAGATTTGACAAATGTCGAAGTCGCAAATGTAGAAGCCACCAATGTTGAAGCCGCAAAGGTCGAAGCTACAAATGTCGAAGCCACAAATGTCGAGGCTACAAACGACGAAGCCGCAGATATCGAAGCCAGAGATAATACTAACGCTATCGAATTGGTCAACATCAGTGATTCTACCTTACTGCCTAATGATTTATGCGGTAAGTGGTCTGATCTAGCCGACAAGGTCGAATTCCTCGAAGATCGAATGAATAATAACTTTATGGATATCGCAAAATCAATAAACAGTTTGAAAGCAAAGGAAGGATTAAATACGGAGCTCTCCCGTGAATATGTTGATAGTATTGTGCGGGAAAATGTAAAATTAAGACAGGATAATGAAAATTTAAGGGAACGTTCTGAAAATCTTTCGTATATTATATCAGATCTAAACACTAAAGCTAAAAGATTTGAAAATGAGAAAGAATCCCTGATTACAGCTTTGGGAATGTTACAATCAGATCTAAATGAGAAATATAAAGGGGCTGATTGGCAAACTGTCAAAGGTTCTGTTATAAAAAAACGGTAGCTGTAAACAGATGTCCGCATCTAGTATAGATGCTGATATCAATCCGAATGTCGAGATTAGCAACAGATTTGAAAGTCTAATTTACGAAGGCGATGAAGAATCTGATGATCAAGAAATTCCTAACACGACAAAAACAAAAGAGAAATTAAGCCTTCAACAAAAGGGCTTTGGTAAGAATCAAATGAGCGAATCTGATGACAAAGCTGCTCAATCGAAAGCCAACAAGCAGAGGTCACAGCAGATTAATCAGGAACAAAAGCATAAGAAGAATAAGAATAAGAAACAAAAGGTGAAGAATAACGAACAAAAGGCAAAGGAAAACGAGCAAACAAGAGAAGCGCATAAGGCAAGTGAGGAAATAACAGCAGAAAGACAACGCACTAAAGAAACGGTCGTTATAGCTGGAGATTCGATTATAAAATATGTAAAAGGTTGGGAAGTATCCAACACTGACAGAAACGTAATAGTTAAGTCTTTCTCAGGTGCAACAGTTAATGATATGTCTGATTTCTTAAAGCCCACTGCACGAAAGCAACCCGATAAGCTCATTATCCATGCAGGCACAAACGACATACGCTATTCAAGTCCTAAAGAAATTGCAAAGAAAATTATCGAGTTAGCAGAGAATTTTAAAAAGGATTGCAATGATACTGAAGTCATCATCTCTTCTTTAGTCACTAGATGCGATAGAGAGGAACTTACAACGAAGGTAAATGAGACCAACAATATATTAAAGTCAAGCTGCTTGAAGAAAAAGCTTGCATTTTTAGACAATAGTAATATTAGTCGCTCTCATTTAAATAGTAGAGGACTGCATTTAAACCGAGAAGGTAGCTCTTTGCTTCAGGCAAACTTTTCATATTTCTTAAGTTCGCATAATTGAAATGAGGACGGGTCGAGGAGGAGTGCTAATGATGCCTGTTTAAATATTCCGAAAACAAGGGGTTTTAAGATGGCTATGCTTAATGTAGTTAGCCTTCCGAAACACCTTGATGAAATCCGATTATTACTTCACGATAAATATTTAGATGTTTTAGCAGTTAATGAAACCCGTTTGGACTCTACTATTTCCGATGGGATTGTTAGCATTGAAGGTTATGACTTGCTACGTGCTGATCGGAATAGAAATGGAGGAGGGGTATGTATTTATATAAGACGCCATATAAATTATGAAAATCGCCCTGATCTAGTTCCACCAGGCCTTGAAGCTGTCTGTGTGGAAATTAAGCAGGCTAATAGTCAATCTTTTATAGTTTCAAGTATTTATAGACCACCATGTTCCGCTAGTGAAGTGTTTATAAAAATTGAGAGGCTAATCAAATCAATTGATGATGAAAATATAGAATTTTATATTTTGGGAGATTTAAATTGTAATATGCTAGAACCAACTTTGTCCACCACTAGAAGGCTTCAAGACGTTTTGGAATTATATCAGCTTACACAGTTAATTAATAACCCTACGCGTATTACCCAGTCTAGCCAATCATTATTGGATGTAGTAATTGCGTCAATGCCTGAAAAAATAATTTTTTCAGGTGTAGTCCATCTCGGAATTAGTGATCACAGCCTCATTTATAGTATTCGGAAAATAAGTACAAGAATAAAAACTGATTTACAAGGTTCTGTCGAGTATAGAAATTTTAAGAATTTCAATGTTTCAGGCTTTCTATATGACTTACAAAATATACCTTGGGAAGAAATAAGATTTAAAAGAAATGTTGATGAAATGTGGCGGTTATGGAAAACATTTTTTGTAGATGTGCTGGATAAACATGCCCCTGTGAGAGTAAAAAGATTAAGAAAAGGGGGCAATATTCCTTGGGTAAGCCGGGAAGTAAAGGAAAAATTATTTAAAAGAGATGCTCTTAAGCGTAAAGCAATAAAGACAAATAAAGAAGAAGACTGGAGATTATATAAGTCATCTAGAAATGTTGCCAACACTGCTTTGCGCAGTGCTAAAAGAAATTATTATGCAAACAAATTCACAAATAATAAACAGAATCCTAAATATGCTTGGAGAACAATAAACGATATATTAGGTCGAAACAGAAAACAGACTATACGATTAATGAAATTAAACTTCCAGGTAAAACTGTTACATCGACCGACGAATTAGTCGACATTTTTAACGATCATTTTAGTAATATTGGCCCAAAGCTTGCTGAGTCTATTCCAAATGACAATGACGTTAGTTTTCGAGATTTTATTACTCAACAAAAATCTAAGACAAAGAACAGTTTCTCATTTCGACCAGTGAGTGTAACATTGGTTTACACTCTTCTAGTTAATTTGTCTACCACCAAAGCGACTGGAATGGATAAAATTTCAGCTAAAATTCTACAAGTAGCAGCTCCAGTTATAGTCTTCTACGCATACCTACTTAGCGGGCTGAGCCCTCACGTAAGGTATGCTTACTTTGGCCAAGAATTCCTTTCCTCAAAATTAGCCAATCACAGCTTTACCCACAAAAATTGTGGGGCTTGACCTTTGGCTTTGACCTTGAGGCTTGGGTCGTTAAACGTTTCAAAACATTTATTAAATCTTGAACATTTTATATATTCATTTGTACGAATTCATATCTTAAACCGATTATATATGCGAGAGCTGAGAGATATATTTGTTATACCGATATACCAGTCTACAAATTTACAATATGGAACAATTGTAAAACTGTTAGAATTTGTCGAGCTATATTGTTTTGAACAGACAGTGTAGAAAAATCGAACAATATCACCTAAAATATTTCGCAATGTTTTGATTACTTTATAAGCGTTTGCAGGTGTTACTGTAACCATAGCTGTAACACGGGTAATATACTGGACAAAGACGTCAAGACAAAGTTTTAAAGTTACAGTGTACATTACTGCGGGTGTAGATAATAGATTTATAAATACTAATTGAAGACTACAGAATTCAGCCTATATAAAATACTGAATTTATTCATTGCATATTTCGGTTTCTAAGTTTGTATATGACTAGCCAGTTTATAAAGTTTAATAAAATCGTAATTACAAAAGTCGCTCTGATATTGAACGTTTGGAAACTTAGTACTATTTACAACATGAGCGGCCGTGTTGTATCGGATATACAAACTCGAGCCGAAAACGACTCATCTTATGAGTTCATTGGCGAAGTAACTTTAAAAATTAACGTTGTCTAAGCCGAGAAAATCAAAGATAAAGTTTATGTAAATCAACATGAATCCGTATCACATATACAGACTCCTTCAGCCCATGATTTCTTTTGTGTTTTCTTCATGATATATATATTGTTAACAGTATATATTGAATATAATACATGCCGTCACGCAGTCGCGTCAAGTTCAAAACAAGTGTTACCATTGAATAGCTTTATATACATTTAAGCCTTCGACCTATCGCGTACATTCGTTGGAAAAATATTCAATATTTTCTACTTCGACTGCTATTGATCAGAAAACTTGATCTGTTCACATTTAAGGCCATTTAAATACGTATATACCGTATTATTATTCGATTATCGCACGCTCCTTGTTTACACTTTACAGTTGACATTCAAAGTGGGCGTGTCTTGTGTATTTGAATGCTATTGGCTAATGGAATACAATGGGAAGGCGAATTGCTAGCGAAAGTAAGCAGACCGTACGTGGCGGGCCTAAACCCGCTAAAGTAGGTCTGCATAGGAGACTACTCCAGTTATTGCACCTTCTCTTACTGAGATTTTTAATATGTTAATTGACTCGGATCAATTTCCTTCTAATTGGAAAGCTGCAAGGGTTATTCCATTGTTTAAGAAAGGTCAGCGGTCCATGTTGGACAACTATAGACCGATATCAATCCTTCCTGTAGTAAGTAAACTTATGGAAAGAATTATGTATGATCAAATGTATGAGTATCTTAACCAGAATAATCTTTTCTCAAAACACCAATTTGGTTTCAGACCTGATCATTCCACAACTACTACATTATTGGATTGTACGAACGAATGGTATACCAACATGGACCGTGGGCTGTATAACTTAGTTGTTTTTCTTGACCTAAAAAAAGCATTCTATACAGTCGACCACGAAATACTGTTAAGTAAGTTTGAAATGTATGGTTTCCAAAGGAAAGCATTAAATCTTTTACGTTGCTATTTGACGCACCGAACTTAAAGTTGTCAATTGGCCAGTATACTCTCGGTGGAGAAAGAAATCATTTGTGGCATTCCTCAGGGAAGTAAATTCGGCCCTCTCTTATTTATTATGTATATAAATGATTTGCCAAGCTGCCTAGAACGCACAACTCCAGGAATGTTTGCTGATGATACTAACTTAACGGCAGTAGGCAGAACAATTAGTGAGGCGGAAGAGAGGACGAGCGTAGACATGAGGAATGTTCAGAAATGGCTTTGTGCAAATAAACTAAGTCTAAATATAGCGAAAACCGAGTATGTTTTAATTGGAACACGACATAAAATAAGTAATATTGATACCCATCAAGGAGTTAAAATAAATAATCAATTGATTAAAAAAGTTAAAAATACCAAAGCTCTTGGAGTTGAATTAGACGAAAACTTGAGTTGGGAAAAACACATTAACCATATTAGCAGTAAAATATCATCAGGTATTGGGGCTATTAGGAAAATGAGGGAGTATGTCGAACAAGACATTTTGATAAAAGTTTATAATGCCTTAATCCAACCTTATTTTGATTATTGCCGTGAAGTATGGGATACACTTAATAAAGGCCTAAGCGAACGTCTACAGAAATTCCAAAACAGAGCGGCTAGGTTGATCATGAACTTAAAAAATGAACATGGTCAGTCTATTTTGGCACGAAAATCTCTAGGCTGGGTAACTCTTGAAGAGCGTAGGGCACAAATGAAAGCCAGGCTCATGTACAAGACAGTTAATGGTTTAGCCCCCCAACGACTATGTGAAGCCTTCCAAAATCTGAATACCATTCATGACCATAATCTGAGAGGTTCTTCAACAAGGTTTTATATTCCAAGACCAAAAACGGAATCCTTAAAAAAAAGCTTCCAATATAGTGGGGCTAAACTATGGAATCAGATACCTGAAGAGATACGCAATTTGGTACCGTATAATTCGTTCTGTAAAAAGATATCTTCCTCGACCTTAATCTCGACTTAAAGTAGTAGTTAATTTTTTGTCTAAATAGGTATATAATTGTATTTGTTATGTATGTAATATTAGAGCTAGTGTATAAATAATAATTTGTAAGTACACATCCCTTTTGGAAATCAGCTTTTGCTGAAAAGGTCAATGTGTTTAAATAAAGTTGATCTATCTATCTATCTATCTATCATGATTTGAAAGAATCTTTCTGCTAAGCCGTTAGTGGCTGGGTGATATGGTACTGAAGTTACGTGTTTAATTCCGTGTTTCTTTAGAAACAGCTGAAATTCTTTTGCCGTGCATGAATTGAGGGGCATTATCGCTAAACAGTTGTTCTGGTAACACATTTCGAGCAAACACTGTTCGCAGGGCTTCGACAGTTTTGGAGGTGGTTGTTTTAGAGTGCATGAGCGTCAACAATCACTAAAAACAACATTCCAAGGAATGGTCCTGCAAAATCGACATAAATACGTTGCCGCGGGGTAGATGTCCACTCCCACGGGTGTAGTGGTGAGCATTGAGGGGGGGGCGGGGGCATGTTGAACCCGCTGACAACCACTACATCCTTTGCTAGCACTTCAATCTCCAGGTTAATTCCTGGCCACCAGACCAAACGTCCGAGCTTTTATTGTGACCACACCAGCATGAATGCATATGGTCGATACTCTGGATGCTGCTGCAATAATTATAAAACGGCTCCGAGTGCCCATGGTGATGCATCTACCACCAATCGCGTACGATATGAGAGGTTGTAGTAGATTAAAACTGGTGCACTCGAGAGTGCTTCTTTCAACTTCTGAAAACTTACATCCTGTGCTTTATCCCAGTGGAAACACACATTTTCTTTCGTTAGTTGGCGTAGAGGGTAGGTTACCGAACTGTAATCTGGGATATATCTTGAACAATAATTCGCAAATCCTAAGAAAATTCGTACTTTTGCTGCTGACTTAGGTTTTGGGGCGTTGACTACCGCTTCGACCTTCATTTTGTCAGGTTGTATTCCCTTCTTCGAGACTATGTGACCAAACACACTGATTTGTTGCACCGGGAATGAACACTTCGCAAACATCAGAGTGACTCTGTTTTCTTCGAATGTTTCAAGAAGCTGGTCTAGCTGTCTGAGGTGCTCTTTCTTATTCTTCGATAACCATATGTTGTCGGATATATTCGGGCAATTGGGATTCTCTTTGATGATATGGTTGATTGCTTCATGGAAATATTATCCAGATGGACAGGCGCCCATTTTCAATCGCTTAAACCTGTGTGGACCATCATCTGGCCTCGGGAAAGCGGTGATATGGCGAGATTCTTCTGCCAAGGTGATCTGCAGAAAACCTTGCGAGAGGTCAACTTCCGTAAAAAATTCTGGTACTTCTATTTTGTGCAGGATGTCATCAACTGTAGGCATCTGGACGCTGCTGCGAACCAGTGTTTGATTTGGGATTCGCATGTCAAGGACCAAGCGAACATCTCCTGTTTTCTTGGGTATCGCAATCAGCGGTGAGAGCCACGGTGTTGCTCATTCTGCTTTCTCTATTATACACTGTTCTTCCATTTCGCGAAGCTTTCTACTTACTTGATCTTTCATACTGTATGGAATACGCCTTGCTTTTTGAGCGACTGGCTGGACATCGGGATCGATTGGCAATTTAACTTTTTTGTCTTTGTGATTATCCATTCCGTCAAATACATTTTTGTGCTTATTTAATACTGCTGATACATCTGGATCAGGATGATCGACAGAGACAGAACAAAACTTTCAGTTTGAGTAATCCAAAACCGTTTGATGTTTGGTAGCAAATCAGACACGTACTGTTCGTATTTGTGACGAGAAATGTACCTGTTGCTGTACCTGAAATTGCTGTGATTTGGGCTTCGAATTCATCGATTAGTTCCAGAGGGGTATTTGTTCCGTGCGGAAAGACTTTCTTTTGTGAGGATTGTACCCGGACGTTTGGATTCTTTTTCTGGATTTCTTTGAAAACCGACTTATTAAGGAGGTTTACTGTATCGACGATAACTTTCATCGCAACATTTTCGACTGTGATTCTGCCTCTTGCGGTTTAGTGCTTGAGTTGATTAGTGATTACATAGGCAAATTCTTTATCTGTATCGTCAAGGTAGTCCTGAGGTGTTTCCTGGGATTTTGTCTCTGACCTTGGTGATTTTGTTGTGCTTTTGACAAACAAAGTTTTGCAAAATGTCCTAATTTCCCACATGCATGACATTTTTCCTCTGGCTGGGCATGACAACTTGCCTTCTTTGTGCGCCAATGGTCCTCCACAATTGCGACACTTTCTTGAACTTTGATTGTGCTCTCCTTGATTTCGTGCTTGATCGGCGTCTTTATTTTGACGTGCTTGGAAACGGCGCTGTGCAGGTTTTCGATGGCGAGGTTGATCTGAAAGGTGATTTGTTGATTGGCTAGACTCCTGGTTTTGTTCTAGTAACTTAGCATTCATGTCCGTCTTTTCCAACATCGAACAATACGCGACAAGAGCTTTTGAATCTAGTTGTTCTCGAAGCGCTTTTCGCCGTAATCTCGAGTCAGACGTTGTATAAATAATTTGAGTTCTGTTTTCAGAGTCTACCTCGGTAAACTCGCAGATATCTGCTTTTTCATTTAACCTTCTATATAAATTGTTGATTGTTTCGTTAATTTCTTGTTTTATCTGTCTAAATTCGTAGATTGCCATGTCTTGACTTCGTACAGGGTCAAAGTATTCGGTTAAACTTCTCAAAGCGCTGTCGTAGTTTGTTCCCGTGTCAGGAAGCGTGTCGAATATGTAATTTCTCGCCTCTCCGACATATGTGAGTAATAAACCACGTCTAACAACTGGGTCGAACTCTCGTAAGCTAATCAACATATTTTCGAATCTTCCATACCATTTCTTCCATTGCACGGCAAGACTTGCTCGATCGCTATGCGGACCAAACGGCGCAAATGGAGGCAAACCACTTCGAGGGATGTTGTTTACGGCAGACATTGGAGTTGGTGTTGTTGTCGAATTCGTTACTGCTGATTTGAACCTTTTTCTGACTGATCCAAGTTTAAAACTTATTTAACTTTTTATCCTCGTCGCCACTGTCATATCGTCGTATATCTCAATGCTTTTTTATTTAGGTTTTTACTCGACCAAGTGTTATATATGTTGTCAGGGGCGGATCTAGGATTTTTCGTACCTCAGTCAAAAAATTTTGGCGGACGGGGCATTACCGGCGCTGGGCGTGGTCGACTCCAGCCGGGGGGGACCAAATAATTTTTATGCTGATATTCCGCCACTGGATTTTTAGAATTTTCCGTACGTAAAATGCGATTTCCCTCCCCCCCTCCCTATTAACCTAAATCCTAATTGACCAAATTATAAAACATATTTAGATTAAATTGATAAACTCAAACGAACATTTGATTCTTATCCACGGTAAGAAAAACTACAAATGCACAAAGATATATTGATGCTATTTCAATACAAAATTTTATAGATATATGTTGCAATTATTTAATACTTTAAAACTCAGCAGCAATTTAACATGTTTGCCTGTGGATTGATGAATCGTCGTCATATTGGTACTATATATATAATTGTAAAACTTCTAAAATCATATGGCATACAAATGACTGCCAGTAGCCTGAGCTCTAAAAAACAACCAGATATTCATTAACTAAATTAAAGATGTTAAGTCAAATATTAATAAACTCTTACTATTAATAAAGTCTCACTGTGGTCTATATATTGAACACAAAATACACTATTAATAAACGAGTAACATCAGAATGGCTACCAGCCAATGAGCTTTTCAAGCTACCTTATTAATTATTTCACATCATCATGTTACACCAGACCAATGCGGTCTAACAAGTCATGTCGATACGCTATGGATAAACAATACTCTTAAGGCGTACATGTTGTGTGATTAATGCATAAATATAAAGAAATTTTAAATAAAACTTCACTAACATGAGAATCAACAAATGCTTACAATGTGGACATGGAATATTATAAACATATTTTAGCTTCTCGCGAGAATTATGCTAATAGAGCAATACAGTATACGAATATATTAAAAATATCATATGTCAGACAATCATTAACAACACCGATGGCTCGATACTCCGGTTTAATATAAACTATAAAACCATAAATTTATCTACCTTATTGCAGTGTAAGCTTTGTGTTTCTCTAGCAGTAGCTCTCTGCGCCAAAATTTCTAGCGAGGCTTCTGCTTGTGCTGTTGATGGCGCCGCTCAGTAGCTTCTCAACAAAATCCGTCCGTGAGGCATCGATATTCTTTTCAAGCTCCGTATACAAACGTTGTAGAGAATGTAGAGAATCCAAATCGTTTGCCGCAATCGCAAACTGCATGAACATTGTTGAAAATGTTCCCAGATATCGCTAGTAGAAATCGCTCGTAAAATAGTAAAATTCCTCAGATAGACGTTCGAAATAGTAAACACAGGTAAACACTATACACTATCACTAATGCCGTGTTGACGAATACCTCACGCTGCGAATCCGTCGAAAATATAAGCCAATGACAGTGCAGATTTTTTTTAAATGGTTCAATCAGAAGGCTCATACAGAGCCCCTGAACCTGCGAATCCTGTGGTTTACAGCCATTAATGGCTTGTAACGAAAATTCTGCGTACGGCCCTGTACTGGAACGAACCATTGTATTGCTATTTCAAAAACTCATTAATAATTCATAAAGAACACACAAAGAAAAATCATAAGCGTGTCGTATCTGTATATGTGATACAGATTCATGTTGATTTACATAAATTTTAACTTTGATTTTCTCGGCTTACACAACGTCTATTTTTAAAATTACTTCGCCAATGCATGAACTCATAAGATGAGTCATTGAAATGCAGCCGTTGTATCAAGACGTGAACTGTGATTTGGCGTTGTTTAAAACAGAGCGAGGACAATGTCTAAATTATTCATATATTGTAATCATTCAATTCTTTTCAATGATTTATTGTGTTGGTAGCCGCGTTGCCGTGCTAAATCGTAAGGTCCCTAATGTTCGCACGCGCGTGACGGACTTCACATGATAATATTCCAAATACCCAAAAGATTTCTGCATATTCTTCGTGATTCAACCGTATGTTCGAGTAATTTGACCAACTAAAAGTCAAAGCGAAATGTAACCTGATAACTGTTTGTGAATAATGCCTTTGAACTGACTATTTAAACTTGAATTTTACCTTATATTTACCTGAGTTTTACAGTAGGGGTGGTTTACAGCCATTAATGGCTTGTAACGAAGATTCTGCGTACGGCCCTGTACCGTGGAACGAACCATTGTATTGTTATTTCAAAAACTCATTAATAATTCATGAAGAACACACAAAGAAAAATCATAAGCGTGTCGTATCTGTATATGTGATACAGATTCATGTTGATTTACATAAACTTTAACTTTGATTTTCTCGGCTTAGACAACGTCTATTTTTAAAATTACTTCGCCAATGCATGAACTCATAAGATGAGTCGATTTTAAAGTTTTTTAAGTTTTTTCGGCTCGAGTTTGTATATCCGATACAACACGGCCGCTCATGTTGTAAATAGTACTAATTACATATTTAAAATATACAGTATAACAGTTTTCCGCATATTTACTTAATTTAATGTGTACGAACGGAGCGAATTCCGCTATCAGTGGTGCCTTAAACGGCTACAGGTCCTTGGAGATTTACTACGAATCATATAATCTGTTTACGTCACGAGAGATCTCGTTTCAACCCATTTAGTTTTACACTGCATGTACACAAATAATGTTGACGAATATATTCCTTTTAATTAACAACAAGTTCGTTTACTTCCCTAATGTTACAAGTCTCTCTCTCGTTTCATTCAATTTCGTTGCATGTCAGGTTATTCAAATGAGTGCAATATAGTGGGCGCACACAGAGTTGGATAGAGCAAGTCTACGTTCGAATGTGAAAGTAAAACCATTTGTGATATCGTGCCTTGATGTGAGATATATGACATATGTCAGTCAACAATATTCCATCCGCACGGGAAATATAAGCATTTTTTACGATATTTTCCACTTCCTCTTTCGACACCATGTCAATGTTCTTCTCGACTCAACTGATAAATTATCACATAGCCAGACTAAGCATACTCATATTTGTACATACATCTTTAAGATGTTTATATATATATATATATATATATATATATATATATATATATATATATATATATATATATATATATATATATATATATATATATATATATGTTAATCACCGTAGGTAATTATTTTTTAGTGAACAGGAAAAGCTGAGACGGATTCGAACCGGCGACCTCTGCCCTCTGGGTTACAATATATGGTTATATATATATATATATATATATATATATATATATCAATAATAATCGTTGATTCAAACAAAAGTATGAACGCACTGAGTAGTTTGAAGAGTGCTCAACACCAATATTAGTAGAGCTTTATAATTGTTGTCTTTTTTACTTAAAATTAATTAAGTCGCAACTCCGAGTTTCACGTTTTCACGATCTTCAGGCGACGATGTATGTTAGTTGAACATACATCGTCGCCTGAAGATCGTGAAAACGTGAAACTCGGAGTTGCGACTTAATTAATTTTAAGTAAAAAAGACAACAATTATATATATATATATATATATATATATATATATATATAGTATTTTTATTGAAGTGACATTACAAATGTAGCGCGCATCCTATCATTTGAAAAGTAGCTACATGTACATCAAATTATACGAGATTGGAAACCCAAAATATTCCAACAGTGTAGTCGCAATGTAGTCGCAATAACGTCATTATAGGAATGCTCCAGATGTTATGAATCCATATATCTATATTGCTGATTATAAATGATGGCAGAGGACAAAGGCTGTTTGATACACAAAACTAAATCATAGCTGTTATATAAATTCACATATAAATACTCGTAATTGTAAACTTACCCGGTTGACTTTGCGAAATTTCTCGGTGGAAAACTTCATTTGCAGTAGGTCTTAATATTATCATTACCACACTAATTTCGATCTGATGGTAAAGTGCAACGAAGCATGTCGAAACAGGTCCTTAACGTGCTGTGATTAGTTTGACGGTGTTTATTATTTCCATATAAACGGGTAACGTTACAGAGGGAAATTCCAAAAATTAAAGGGAAACCCCCGAATAATATAAACTGAATAGCGCTTACAATGGGGGAATCTCAGGATTCAAAAGGGAAATTCCCGTTGGAGGAATCCCGCGGAGATAAACGGGAAATCCCCGTTATTAGAATATTGACTACATTGTTGTCTGTAGTCTTGCTTTGGGAAATACTTTATCAACACTATACAGCCTGGTTCCCACTAGCAATTTTGACGATGATTTTGTGTTTCTAACGGATGCAAATGAGTGAACTCGCACTCAAAAGTATAGAGTCGCTTTTCAGAAGTATGTCATTCATAATTCATTCGATCACATTTGCCAGGAGAAAAATCGCCGACAGAATTGCCAGTGCGAACCAGGCGTAATAGAATATCTCGGTCGGGCACGATGTGTCTGCGATCGATAAAGTCGTACTCACCTTGGCGGTGGGGGCTGTGGGATGCAAGTATCAGATTTGCCGACAACATTTCCGTCGCTACTAAATTAATACATTTTCCCTAAAAGCGGGGGGGGGGGACAAGATCGCAATTTTTTTTCCGGACATGGCGTAATTTTTCCGGACACGCCAAAAATTTTCTGGACATATCAGAAATTGTTAACTTTTCCCGTAATTTTTGTGAATTTGGCTAAATTTGTGTAAATAATGTGAATTTAGCTAAATTTAACTAAAGTTCTTCATCCGAACCACTCTAATACTTTTTCCCTGCTTACGGAAACGATTTGCCGATAAAACCGTTATTTTGCCGAAAAAACGTTTTCAGGGGGTGTTAGCACGGCCCTGACAGCAGCTCCAAATTGCAATCAGATTTACAATCCAAATTATTTGCTTCATAAACAAATCAACATGAGCATATAAATCAACCAAAGCATGATGTTCTAGCGTGTTGTGCTTATTGTAACTTACGTAAAAAGTCAATTAGTCACAAAGTCAAAGCTTATTAGGAAAGCCCGACTATATTTAAAAGCAACCTGTTCTACAATAGAGACCTTGCGATTTTCAAGGTCGGCAACGCAACGACGACGGTAAAAAACAAACTCCTTCAAATAAATGGTTGTAAGGATAACTGATTCGATCATTCGAGGTATATTTGCAATCGTATGACTTTATTACAGTCTTAGAAGTTGAAGACATGGGTTTTATGTTTGGGAAGAGTTCTGCTGAACCCAGTTTGAAGTTGCACTTGGTGCGGCTTGAAATGCAGCCGTTGTATCAAGACGTGAGCTGTGATTTGGCGTTGTTTAAAATAGAGCGAGGACAATGTCTAAATTATTCATATATTGTAATCATTCAATTCTTTTCAATGATTTATTGTGTTGGTAGCCGCGTTGCCGTCCTAAATTGTAAGGTCCCTAATGTTCGCACGCGCGTGACGGACTTTACATGATAATATTCCAAATACCCAAAAGATCCCACCGGGCACGCGACGTTGTTTCAACGTTGAAATTTGGTGGAAAAAAGGTTGCGACGTCGACAACCCAATATCTACGTTGCTCTGACGTTGTTTTACAAACATTGGTTGAACAGCAGCCAACAGACGTTGAATTAACGTTCATTCATGGTTAAATGTACGACGTCGATTTGTGAACCAATCTCAACGTAGTTAACGTGGATTCAACGTTGAATTATGGTTGACGAGATTGGCAACCTAATTTCAACGTTGTTTCAACGTCAAAACAGTAACGTCGATCCAATTTGCATAGTCAACCCTTTTTCAACGTCTATCCAACGTCTGGAAGGTCATTTCCAACGTTGATTCAACGTTGGATAAACGTCATTTTCCCGCTGGGATTTCTGCATATTCTTTGTGATTCAATTTGACCAACTAAAAGTCAAAGCGAAGTGTAAGAATAATGCCTTTGACAGTAATTTGATTTGGCAAAGTATTTACCATACAAGCAGCAGTGATAATAATAATAATAATAATAATAATAATAATAATAATAATAATAATAATAATAATAATAATAATAATAATAATAATAATAATAATAATAATAATAATAATAATAATAATAATAACAATAAAGAGTTTACTAATAAAACGCTTTGCAGTTATACAAAACTGAATTACACGTTTAAACTAGCTATGACAATGAGCTTTTATAGAAATAGTACAAATATAAAATTATCTATTAACCCCCGAAAACACGGCGTGCTATGGAACTAGCAACTGAAAAAGGTGCATCCAACTGGGTAACAGTTATCCCCATTAAGGAAATGAACTACAATCTGAACAAGGGTGAGTTTCGAGACGCAGTAAAGCTGAGATATGAGTGGAAAATTGCTGATAAGCCATCAGTATGCGTGTGTGGCGATACTTTCAATATTGATCACGCAATGATCTGCAAGCGAGGTGGATTCATCATACAGCGCCACAACGAGCTGCGAGATCTTGAGGCTGATATGCTTAACATCGTCTGTAATGATGTCGAGGTTGAACCCGTTCTTCAAGAGTTAACGGGCGAGGTTTTACCAAGAGGAGCAAATACAGCATCCGACGCTCGCCTAGATATCCACGCTCGAGGGTTTTGGGAGAAACAAAGGTCCGCGTTCTTTGACGTTAGGGTTTGTCACCCCAACGCGGAATCCTACAAAGACCTGAGCCCTCAACAGATATACAGGCAACATGAAAACGAGAAGAAGAGGATGTATGCCCAAAGAGTGATGGAGATAGAACACGGAACGTTTACACCACTAGTATTTACAACGACTGGAGGTATGAGTGAAGAGTGTAAGAGATATCATAGCAGATTGGCCGAGCTCATAGCAGCGAAGAAAGGCGAAGACTACTCTACGACCATGTCCTGGATACGAGCCAAGGTCTCCTTTTCCATCTTGCGGTCAGCTCTACTTTGTCTCAGAGGGACTAGAGCACCCAGGAGGATAACTACGAACGTTCAAGAAACGGACTTCGAAGTAGACAATTGGTTTGCCTTGAACAGGCCTTAAAGGCCTAGCTGCCTTTAACCAGTTGATTAGTTTCTCAACTTAATATTGAGTTTGAATATGTAATTGGAAATTTTAATATTTATCCTAGGGAAGCTTGTAATTATTTTATAATTGTTAAATTGTATATGTAATAAATTATTATGCATAGTCCAACATTATTATTATGAACATTATTATTATGAACATTATTATTATGAACATTATTATTATGAACATTATTATGAACATTATTATGAACATTATTATGAACATTATTATGAACATTATTATAAACATTATTATAAACATTAATATATACTTATATCTATTAACAATATTAAATAAAATAGTTTATAAAAAAAACCTACAATGACTAATTAACATTATAATATAGTCATTCACCTTTTATGAGCTGTTCTGCAATCTGATTGGTTGAATTACTCTCCGTGTATCAGCTCATATACAGCGAGTAGCAAAAAACAAGATGGCAGTCCAAAAACTACATGAGTTTTGCGAAACAGAAAAAAGGAAAATATTTGCTTCGAGAAAGATAATAGTACAAGGAAAAACTCTCAAAAAATTTGACAGGTTAGCAAAATACATTTATTACATAAAAATTAGTTCAAATACAAGTTTTTTTTAAAGAATTAATACCGAAACAACAGCGAAAAAAACATATTCATTGAGAATATAAATTGTTCAGAAAAGTTTGCGGCGAAAGACAAATGAATTTGCAGTCAACAAGCACTTACTATACTACCAAATATGTGTACAATATATCTGAGCTTTTCTGTGAGATATACTGGTTCTAAAACCATTTCTTTCACTTCGTCTTCGAGTTGTAAATTGTAAAACAAAGTATTTCAAATTTTCAAGGCCAAGCGGTTTTTGGCCGAACAAATTGTCAAGACATTGTGACAGAGGATAATTAATTATTCAGTTAATGGCTATATTAGACTTTAGTATAAACTACTACACTGTTAATTTCAAGGAGTTAGTACGACTCCAAAGTTGGAGTTAAAATCTTAGGTTCAGAATAACACCATTTTTTGGGGGGGGGTCATTTTAAACCCCATATTTAACTCTCATTGTGGAGTTAGAATAATTAAATAACTCCAATATGGGGGTTATGATATTCTTGTAAATGGAGTTATTATTACTCGAGAAAAGTAGTTAGAAAGTTAGGTTGAGAATAATACCCAATTTCTGGGTCACTTTAACTCCCATATTTAATTCCAAATTGGGAGTTAAAACAAGTATAAGTGAGGAGTTATAGTAAACATTCTTGGAGAGTTATTATAACTCTTTACAGAGTTACTATAACTAAAAAAGTAGTCATTTTATGCTCTATTTTGGAGTTAACATGGTTTGAACTAAATAATATACCTAGAGTAAATTCGAGTCTATATACAATTATGCGCATCAGCACATGGACTACATGCATATAAGCATTCATATTTTAAGAATAATGAAAGACACCTTGAAGTATAAAGCATGGTTAATGTAATTTCATGACAAAAAATAACTAAATCTATATATCTGAACATGAATATAACGTCTGAACACAACCATAAAGTTTTTATCCAACTGCGGAAATAATTTTTTACTGTTACTTTCTTTGAATATACTGTAACTTCTGAACACAACTATATTTTTTTTATCCAAGTGCGGAAATAGATTTATTTACTGTTACTCTCTTTGAATTAAATGTCTGAACATAACTATAAAGTCTTTCATGCAAGTGCGGACATAAATTTATTTACTGTTACCCTCTTTTTGGCCTCCTGCTCATTGCCAAGTAGTGTTGCCTCACAGAAGATGTAGACTTTGGTACATTTCAATGGGTACGTTATGTTGAAAACATAATAGAAAGCCACCAGCAGACTCAAAGCATTTGCAAGTGAGTTGCTTCCTCCTAAAAACTAATTATTACAACACCTTCTGCAGCAATGTAGAGGGGATCTAGGCACCAAAATTCTCCAGAGCCAACAATTCGAGGACTTTATGTTTCCTCAATAGCTTTGTCAATTGACTCATCATCCTATATACAGAAGAAAAATACATTAATTAATTTTGTATATTGGGTTATATCCAATACTGCATTACTACTGTAATAAATTTTGAGACAAAAACAAGCGATAAAAACTTTATTTTGCAACATTTCGATGCTAAATCATGATATTTTTCAAGCATAATGAGTTTACATAATTGCGTGCCATTAAATAAACACAGTAATTGAACACGTGACAATTAATGGAACACAATTATGTAAACTCGTTTAATTATTGGGTTGCAATTATGTAAACTCGTTATGCTTGAAAATGGTGCATGATTTAGCATCGAAACGTTGCAAAATAAAGTTTTTAACACTAAAAATGATATAAAAAAATCTTGTAAACTTTCAAAGTGCAGAAATTTTAACATACCGTGCATATTTTAATAAAATTTTCTGCAGTTCCACCTTTTTCTTTTAGTAAACTTGGCGGAAGATATGCTGCATGCAGCTGCTTCTTCAATAGCTTTAAAAAGGAAAGTAACAATATTCAATTATGTTTCGATTCTATCATCCTGCATTTTCTGCCAGTGGCAAATCAGCAGTTTTTCTATTTGATAAGCTTGAAAATGGGGGGGGGGGCACATGTAGCTAGAGTTACTTAGTTACTGGCAATGAGTCATACTGCAGCAATGGGTCACATACTGAAAAGTGCTCAATGAAGGATTAACATAATGCAGACGTAGAAGCTACAAATTGATATCATATATCATTATATTACCACTTTTCTTGTTTGGATTATCTTGACCGGCCTCGTCAATTGAAGCCTTTATTGAATTCCCCACTGTTTGCGTCAAACCATACTTAAGAATTTTCTGCACCCACACTTCTTTAAATGTATTGGCCATACACTTTACTGGGTTTGGCTTTCCCATTATGCGACCAAATTCTTCTTTCACCTTAGTTGAATAAACATAAGCAATAAGCTAGAAGTTGCTTAATAATGCACACTGTATGATACATTCAGACAGATCTTCTAATTGCTGCTCACAGCATTAGCTGAAATAGATATTTGTTAGAATCATCTGGCTAATTAAGCCAAGGCGACTAGGAAATACAGAACTTAGAATAAGCAAGGACGCCAGAATGATAGAAATTAAGGCAAGGGGGCCGGGTGAATTTTTGGCGAAGGGCACATTCTCAGCACTTATCTTTATTGATAGCTTAGTATTGAAAACCTGACAGAACGACATGCATATTTCTTGCCAGTGTTACCACTGACAGTTTTTGTTCTCGCATAAAATCAATGTTTGAAAAGAAATATTAAATCTCACCATTTTAAAATTCCAGACAAATATAATTGTACCAAGCTTCTAAGCCATGTATTGCTTAATTGATTTGTTGGAAATGGAAGCTAAAGACACCTAAGAAGCCAAGCCCACATTCGGACAATCAAGGGGTTTTTTCAGGGATTTTTTACGACCCTAAAATGGCCCCAAAATCTCAATCTTGAATTGAGTTTTGAAACTCAATTTTCTCACCAAAAGATTCAGTGCAGTAAAAATGAAGTTGTCTGAGCTAAATTCGTGACGTGTGGAAACCCGACAATCAAGCAAAAATGGCTGGAATTCAATTCACAACACAAGAAAAACAATGCATTTGCCATATTCAACCAGTTTATAATGTCTGCTTTAACATATTGCGTCTCAACTACACTTATTGTGTACACGTGTCAGTCTCCCGCAGCTGCACCACACCCCCAGCTGGTCAGCTAAACTCAATCCTCTCTGCAAAAACGGACCCAAGAGAAAATCCTAAAAACCGCTGACAATAATAAGGCTTCACAAAGAAAATATCTCCCCAATATTGAAAGGGCACCCCTGCACCCCCCCCCCCATTAAAAGGCAAGGGGGACAGCTGTCCCTCCTGTTCCGGCGTCCCTCAGTATAAGAGTTAAATACGTGTCATAAAATAACTTTGTGCCAATTTTGTAGAATTTTAAACTTGAACAACTTACTGGTGATGGTAGCTTCAATGCTGGGTAGCTTTCCAAACATTCGCCAACAGACATTGTTCCTTTCAAAAATGCTGTCCGCCTGCATGCAAATGTTAATGCCATCAGCTCTTTAACCACTGCCATATTCCTATTGGTTTTGCGAGCCATTTCTTTTTTAAGAGCTTCTATATGTTCTTTACATGTCTCTTCTGTTTCTCCTTCAGGCATTGTGATGCATTCCTCTACTTTCCTTTTTTTGGCCTGTTGACTGTCGATTTTCATACTTTCATTGGCATCCAGAGATGGAAGAATCAAACTTCTCCCTTTTTTTCTAATATTCTTAAACCTGTGTTTGAAAGCTATCTCCCAGGATCCCTGCAAGTAAAACCACACACTATTAAAAACAATTTTGTTGTAGTACAGGGACCGGTTGTTTGAAAGGTGTATTGTGCTATCAAATGGATAGTGATTTTTTCAAACCTTCATCAAATTTTCATCTGATCATTACAGTACAAGTTACGGCTGATATTTATAGATTGAAGACTGGAGTATTTATTACAATTGCCAAAATGGAAGTTTCACTGTTCTTTGTCCAACTTTACGAAGGTTGAAAAAATTACTATCCAGTGGACACAGTATACACTGCAAAAAATCAAATTCTAGTCTAGAATAATATTCTTATTTTTTAGATTATTTTTCTTATTTTAAGTAAATATTTCTTATCAAGAAATATTTCAAGAAAAAAAATCTAGTTTTAAGAACAAAAATCTTAAAATAAGAAAATATAACTGGGCAAGAATATTCGAGAGAATATTTTTCTTATTTTAAGAATAACATTTTTCCATCCTAGAATAATATTCTTATAATTAGAAAAACAATCTTGAAATAAAGTTTAATATTATTTATCGCATATATCAAAACCTTTCTTTTGGCAACTTTTGCATTGCTAAAACGAAATATGATATTGAATTGAATAAACCTAATTGTAATATTGTATATCTTTCACTTTTTTGTCAAATTTGAAGCTGAACGGCTCTGTCCTGAATTGTCGCAGTTTCAACATGGCAGATATCACAATGAATTTGAATATGCCCAATGAATTGCTGCTATTGAAAAATAACAATTATATATGAATTCAAATCATTTGCAACAATCGTCTATCTACGCTTTAATGAAGATGGTATGATCCACCGCAAAAAATGAAGTGTAAATTTACCCAAGATTTTGCGTAAATATCACCGACATGTTATGACATCACGGTTAATGCTGTCAAATGTTATGACATGCGATACGTTAAACGATAAAAATTTTATATTATTGCAATTGGCATATAATTTTTTTAGAAAATATGTCTCATTATTCGTGTATAAGAATTTCCATCATTTTTTTATAATCATTTTTTTTGGCCAGATTATAAATGCTTCCTATAGTTTCAAGCTAGCGATAGATTGGGAGCGCTTTTTGGTGTATGTATTTTAGAAGACAGGGCCACGCGCGCAATGAGTTGTGGGATATCGTATATCAAGTATCAAGTGTGATTTACAAATTTTCGACTTTTTCGTTTGAGCATATTTCGCTCAAGAATATCGTGTTTTTTATCATATTTGGTTCTGGATAAGTGACTCCGAATCCTGCCGAAGGCTTATTGATTTCAGGTATGAAATATTACTGTTTATATCGTATAATTATAACGTACATCGACCGTATTTACTCATTTTATCTTGTGGCTGTCATAGCCTGTTGTGGCTCTCTGCTATTGCTAAATTTGAATTTGCGCGCGAGAGGTTTTATGACCCTTTTATATATTGAATTATTTCATTTCAATTCCGTCAAATATTAGTTAAAATCAACAATTCAAATTTTGAATAAACACATAGTAAATACTGGGTTACACTTGCCACTTGGTTGACAAAACTGGAGAAAGCATGTTTGAACCCACATAGTATATTATAAAACAATATGTAAATATGAATAATATTTACTTTAAATTATTTGAGAGTATTAAACTTACAATTACAATGTTATCTATCTGAATCATAAAATTGTTAACCCAAAATATAGAATTGATTATAATATTAGATTATCAGTTTAGTGCATATTTCTTGGTTTATAGCATGTAAATGTTGACTTTATATTTATCCATTGGCATTGAGCTGGAATGTGCCCCAGTGCGCCCTACTTTTTTTCACTTGTCTAATGCCAGTTTTGTCACTCATGTCTAACCCTGCATATATGTGTGATATATTGTGCCTGTTTATGTGATAATGGCATGGCTGGACAGGAGGTTTTAATCCGGGATGGTGTGTTTAATATATAGACGGAATACACCCCGCCTCTCCGCCTGGCAGGGATGATAGAGTGCTTGTATAAGAATTTCTCGTCCTGGCAGATGCAATCCCGGCAACAAATAATGGGATCCTGCCTAGGCCAGAAAGAAGTAGAATATTTCACTTTACCGTAAACAGTCGATAGAGTTCATATTGCAAGCTAGATGAGATGGGGTGTTAACGGGATATTACACTAGGCCGTACATTGCATAAGCTGCATTGTGCCACAACTTTATTGTTTTACTCCGTATAATGTCAGATGATTTTACCTGTCAGTGCCATCACTCAACGGGTTACTGAAACAAGTAGCACTTATCTCACATACAACTGAGGTTAAATCATAACCATATGAATGTTTTCTGGAATATGCGGCAATAGCATATTAAATCACAAATACCAACACCACCGCCATTACATTTTATACCAATCTAATGGATTTTGCTGCAAAAATTCTTTCTCATGTTATAAACTCTATCCTACATAATAGAATGATTAAAAATAAATTACTTATTTCCTTTCATGGGAAAATTTGAGTCATTATGGTCAATTTGAGTGCGAGAATCATGGTCCCACAGTCAAAATGTCAAATTTTAACCCATGAAGTTGCATCGCAGCCTTTATTGTAATCCTGTCTAATGCCAGACAATTTTATTTGTGAGTGGGAGAGTGATGGTGGTTAATTGGTTAAGGATGCCAAGTTATATCATTATGCTTTCAATAAGTAACACAGTTGTAATTTAACACTTGCCCGGGGCAAGTGAATATCATTGTCACAAAAACCTGGGCATCAAGTTTATGTTTTCATTGCCAGATAAATTTTTTATGCAGTGCATGTTGTACTTGTGCATGGATTCAAATTTTGTTTTTCTGTGGGCCACAGCCAGGTCTGAAGCAGTATAACATAGCCATCTAGAGCAGTGGAAGAATGTGTCAACATGTTGTCCCCTTAATTTATAGCCCGTACCTGGGTACCCCAGTGGCCATTGTCTCATGGCAAGTGAATTTTATTCACGGCAACTAATTTTCATATCCAACTTGGCAAGTTGAACTTGCCCTGATGACAAATGGTCAAAAAAGTAAAGTTATACCACTGACTACTGAGTAAAGTATATGAGCTACAGTGTCATGGTAATAAAAACTCTGGAATAAGGTATGCGGTTATTTTCAAAAAATTTACATTATCACTCATCAATATGTCTGCAGGTTGTTGAAGAAGATCGGAGGAGCCTCAATCAATCCAAAGAAGCAGAAGAAAGTGCATACATGAGGAATTGTGAAAAGCAGCAGCTGATTGACCAATTGGACCCACTTATTTACTATCATGGCATCTCAAAAGGAGTTATGAAGCCACCACATGAACAGTGATCTGGTAATTAAATGATATCATTTTGTTTTTTTATTAATTAGAGTACCGGTACCAACATTGGATTCATTAGCAATTTAGCACCGACATTAGGTGTCGTTAATAGAAAATAATAAATGAAAATTGCATTTTGGTTTATGCTGTACTGGTAACTAATAAATGATATGAAAAATCAAAATTGCATTTTTTAGCTCTCAAAAGATCACAATGCTTTTATTAAAAATGTACCGGTAACTTAATTAATATTATTTTTTATGTATGTAATTCTACAGAAAGTACTTCACCTAATGAAGAACATTTAATTCACTCTTCAAATCAAAAAGTCAACCTTCTAAGAGCAAACTGGACATCATAAACTTTGTTGAGGTGAGGTTATAGTTTCATTTTATAAAATTCATTTAGTAAGGCCTGAATCAAATTTAGTGTACACTGTACATATACATCTTCTTAGTTTTGAGCTTTCCTACAGTTGAGATAAAGTTAATATGGGCTAACAAAAACTATCTGCCAGTGTCTCTTGTTCCATCCATCATAGTATTTCGCTCTGTCTGTAACCCCAGGGGATAGCTTGTTCAGGGGTGGAAAAAGTATCGGACCACGGGACCATTGGTCCCAGAAATTTATTTGAGTTCCCAGAAAATATTTCCCCAAGAAAGAAAAAATTGTAATAATTCAGATAAAAGGAGAAATTCAGAGGAAAATTAACACCATGACCTCAGAAATGCAATTATAAGTGCAACCATCTTAATAGTGCGATAGTTTTGCGATAGTGTATAAATGTATTAGACTATAGAATGATGTAACAATTGTTGTATGGCAAATGCATTTTTAGCCAATCTGGGACACTTGATTTCAAAATTTTCTGGGAGCTAGAGCATGAATCCACCTGATAGTGCCCCCCAGTGCCAATTTTGCATCTGTATTTACTTTAGGATCAGACCCTTGATGCATGTTATCTATATTAGCTTTATGTTATATTTCAAGATTCTCGGTGCACTGAAATATTTTTTTTCTGTAAATATACATGTAGCATGACATCCAGTTTGACAACTTATTACAGGTGTCACACAGTTACATTGGCCGAGTGTCGATTTACTTGATCATTTGCAGAAAATTTTTCAATGAACTTTTTGCGGTCCCAGAAAGTAAAATATTTTTTCCACCCCTGAGCTTGTTAGTGAAAACATAAGCTGTTAATTAATGAAGGTTGTGTAGTTGTTACCAAAACTATTTTTGTGTTTTTTTTCCTCAAAAGGAAGGAGACACAGACTTGACTACCTGGCTGCAAATGAGACCCAATGACATACTGTATCAGGGCTGATCATGACATGGAGCTATTGGCAACATTCGAGAATAAGCGAAACTGTAAAAGTTATCTTTACTTCCTGGCGTTGTTCTACTGTACCTGCTCGACTTAGACTACCCATCCAGACTCAGCAGTCTGACATGGTAAAGGCTTTTCAAGAAATTGAACAATATTGTTACGTGTGAGAACTTTTACATTTAATGTATCTATCAGTAATTACTTTAATAACCTATTCATGTATAGCTGGTAAATATATTATTTTAAACATTCTTAATTGTTTTTGTATTGTAGGATGACAACAGCAAAAAATCATGCCAAGATTATTATTCTAGTTTCATATTGTCATTTAAGAAAAATATTCTTAAAAGCCATGCACACCGGATCGAACTAGAATAATTTTCTTAGCAGGATTTCAATTCAAGATAATTTTTCTAATTTTGTCCCATGGGTAAGTAAAATTTTCTTGTTAAGATTATTTTTCTTATTTCAAGAAAACGTTTTAGCAAAATTTTCTTATTACTAGAAAATAATTTTTGGGAAACTAAGAATTTTTTTCTAGAAATAAGAAAATTTTGCCAGAACGTTTTCTTGAAATAAGAAAAATATTCTTGATAAGAAAATTTTACTTACCCACGGGACAAAATTAGAAAAATTTTCTTACCAAGAATTTTGTTCTAACCAAGATTAATTTTCTTATTTTAAGAAAAATTTTCTTGAAATCTGATTCTTACCTAGAATAATTTACTTACCCACGGGACAAGTAATATTTTCTTAAAACAAGAAGTTGATTTTTTGCAGTGTATATAGCACTATCGACGTTTCGAACAACTGGCCCCAAGAAGAACCAAACAGGGAAATACAAATTTCAATTGTCAAGCATGCCTGCATGGCCTTAGTTTTCCAAACCAATCCCTTGTCTCTAACAGTTATATCCTACTTGCTAATTATAAAACTCAATAGTTCTACAACAATAACATAGCAATGCAGTATCAGACAAAGCAATTTATCATAATTACTACATTGAAAATAACCCATTAACCGACACTATACCAATATTTTTTTATAATATGTCAAATAGATAATGGTCAGTCTGAAAAACAGTAAAAATATTCCTATTTTTTTCTGTGTTGGTGTTGTGTACTCAGGGAAATATTATGTTTGTGGTGTTACTCTGAGTGTATATCTACACCGGGCAGACTGAAAAATCTGCCTGGCCACGGTGCAAATCGAACCTATAACCGTTGGAATACTAGCCCAATGCTCTGCCAATTACTGAGCTACGCGGTCAGGTCAGTTCGAGTATGTGATATTTCGGAACTGAGTCTACCGTAGTTCCTTTGATATCAATGTAATCTATAGCAATAATTATTACATTGGTACCGAAGGAACTAGTCTCAGTTCCGAAATATCACATACTCGAACCGACCTGACCGCGTAGCTCAGTTGGCAGAGCATTGGGCTAGTATTCCAAAGGTCGTAGGTTCAATTCGCACAGTGGCCAGGCAGATTTTTCAGTCTGCCCGGTGTGGATATATACACTCAGATCGAGTAACACCACAAACATCATATTCCTAAATGGTAAAAAAGTTAAATAATCAGTCTGAAAAACAGCAAAAAATATTGAATATTACTTCAATTGCCTACATACTGTAAATACATTTGTGCACTTACAATTCCAATACTATCTTCCAAAAATGGATATTACGTTTTTTATGACAAGAAATGCCACATGTTGCCTTTCTGCTTTAGTTGGATACATGGTGTATATCCTGATGCTGGAACATATGTCTCGGGTAAATTTATTTCGGTTAACACCAGTCAGCTTCTTGCTTGCAAGAGCCTGAGTAACCGCAGGTGCGAACTATAAAGATACTATATATTATGAATTTGTAAGAACATCACTTTTAACGTCCCATTAAGCTGCAGGGCTTAATCCTCATTAATTACAAGTTAAAGGTCTGGTGTTAGACAGGTAAGAAAGAATAAGTAGGGGGCACATTGCAGCTCAATGGGTTTTAATGGACACTTCAGGTGCAAATACATTTCAGAAAAATTCCAGTTTATAATGTTTAACGTTTTGAAAATTTTAAGTGCAAAAAACTACATTTTGAGGCACACAAGTAAAAGTTCCACTCACTACCGAAACGATGTTTCGAGGCCCTTTGTCGGGAATTAGTAGGGGGTCAGGAGAAAGCATGCTTTAGCAAGTGAATACAGCTGATTCAATTAAGGTTGTCCTTCGAAAACCTTAAACCTTAAACTCTGAGCGCGCAAGGATGATGGGTTTTCACTTATTAGGCCCTTAAAAGTTAAAACTCAGAGAATTGCCTTTGCAGAAAGTACGTTTTCTGTCATGAGTCTTATATATATCTTAGGCATTCTTGCAAAGCCAAATTTCAAAGTTTATGAGTCTAAATAAGCAATAACCCATCATCCTTGCACGCTCAGAGTTTAAGGTTTACGTTTTAGGAAGGACAACCTTAATTGAATTAGCTGTATATTAAAACATCACATGACAAAATAAAAACCAATCAAATGGATTTAATAAAAACAAGGATTAAACAAAAAAATGCAAATCACATTGGGACATTCCAGAAAAGATCCATACTTCCCCCACCGGGGAAATTGCTGCTGTCTGGAGGGGGAGGGGAGAACATATTCGCTTGTATGAATTTAATTTGAATTGAAACGTGTAACGAATGATTTTCCTTATTTATTTATTTGTTTTATTATCATTTGAAAAGCAACAAAATTTCGAAAAAGATGGCTCTTTTAATTAAGAATTGCTTCGCAGTATTTCCATGTCCCATAGCTATAGGAATTAAATTAGATCAACAACCGGACAATTTGAGACAGCTTCGTGAAGCGATTATTGCTGATTGCCATAACTTTGACCAGCAAATAAATCCAACGTTCGTTCGATAGTATGGTCACACGTGCAACAATATAGTTATTTAATTTTCCAGGATAGACGCGTTATTTACTGCCTTTGTGTTCTTCATATATCGTTAACTTCCTGTACTCGTATTTAATAGGCTACTTTCAGCTAATTTTGCAACCTTTTGGAATTGCATATCCAAATTGATTTACCAATATCTTGGGTAATACTAAACAAAGATACATGTGTTATACATCAAAATTTAAGTTAGGCCTTCCTGGATAGGAAAACATGCATTTATTTGAGGAACGTAACACTTATAGTTTTTTCGCTGTACTAAATCAAACGCGTGAACTTTTTTTGCGCCACCCGGTATATATATATATATATATATATATATATATATATATATATATATATATATATATATATATATATATATATATATATTTATATATATATATATATATATATATATATATATTTTCTATAATAAATCGTTGTCCGTTGTACAAAAAGAGTGCTCAATAACAAATTTAATTGATAGAGCAAAATATACTAATTATAATCTTAAAATTTTATTAATCGCTACACAGTGTTTCACGCTTTCAAAGCGATCTTCAGGCGATACTACTCTCGAGTAGTATCGCCTGAAGATCGCTTTGAACTTTGAAAGCGTGAAACACTGTGTAGCGATTAATAAAATTTTAAGATTATAATTAGTATATATATATATATATATATATATATATATATATATATATATATATATATATATAGATATATATATATATAGATTAATCACTAGGCGAAAAGCCATAAAGGTATATAAATTAATCAACTCAACACATAACGTAACGTTTCGACTTTATTGTCTTCATCAACTATAATCCTACTTTACAGGCGAACCCAATTTATACCCTCCCAATTTTGCTAATTATGCATAATATGAATATAAGTGATTTACCATACAAATAACAATATCCTGTTAACTATAATTAACATTGCTACGCATTCTCTATGTTCAATCCCGAAGGATGCATTGTCTTTAGTTTACTTATCCAAAATGCCTCACGTCTGGTCGGTTCCCCTGGGTCAGTTTTATCAATTAAAACAACCTCGCAATCACTAATCAATCCATTATGTCCATTACCCAAGAAATGTCGATGGAAAAACATTTGTGTATAAGCCTCGTTATTAACTGCCTTTTTGTGGCAGGCTTTATAATTATTCCAACGGTACCTAAATTTATCTGTTGTTTCGCCAACATATTGTTTTTTACAGACTTTACAAGTAAGAAGATAAACCACACATTTCGAGTCGCAATTCAACCTATGGTTCACTTTGTACTGTTTACCATCTGTTGAACACTCAAAGCTGTCGGTTTCTCGAATATTATTGCACGTTAAACATCGTGCTTTCTTACATTTCTTACACCCCTTTTCCCTCCCTAACGGCGGTACTTTAGCCCTAACTAAATAACTTTTTAAGTTGCGGTCAGTTTTAAATGCCACAAATGGTCCGGGCGAAAACACTTTCTGAGCTTCTGGATCTAAGTATAATATATGTATATATTTACGGATTATAAGACCAAAGTCCTTTAACAGAGGATGAAACGTAATTGTCAAAGGTACTCCTATTTTTCTTTTTTTGTTAGATGCTTTATCACAAGATTGCAACCTCTCAAATTCTTTCCTAATAAGCCACATTGGGTAGGCTCTATTTTGCAGCCAACCTGACAATTCCTGCAAATGTTTATCAGCGTCTTCCTCTCTTGAGCAAATCTTCTTGATGCGTAGACCCTGACTATATACTATAGACCTTTTAACATGTGCAGGGTGTGATGAATCATAATGAAGATACTGGTGGCAATCAGTAGGTTTACAAAACAAACTTGTAATGAAATTACCACCAGCATTTTCAACTACGACATCAAGAAAATTTACTCTATTATGCGAATACTCGTATGTAAATTTGAGATTAGGATGAAATTCATTGAGTCTCGACATAAATTGCAGGAGTTTGTCCTCTCCTTCTAACCAGACAAAAAATACGTCATCTATGTAGCGTAACCAAATCCAAGGCTTCACACTCTGTTGTTTTAAAAATTCAGTCTCAACCATATCCATGAAAATACGTGCATATCTTGGAGCGAATTTAGTTCCCATAGCCGTACCGGAATTTTGACAATAAATATCACCGTCAAACTCGAAATAGTTGTTTTTTAAAACAAACTCCGCCATTTTAGTCAGATTTTCTGACGGCACTTTCTTATCCTTACGTTCCTCTAATTTGGCATGTAGGGCGCGTAGACCATCATCGTGTGGGATGCTGGGGTAAAGACTCGTAACATCAGCGGTAACTAATAAAGCATTTTCGGGTATCTTTCCAATTTCTTTAAGTTTATCCAGGAAATGTCCTGTATCTCTAATGTAGGACTTACCAGCTTTCATAATGGGCTTCAGATGATGATCTAAAAATTCTGAAGCTTTCTCGGTGGAAGTTCCACAATTAGAGATCACGGGACGTCCTGGTACATTACTAAGTCTCTTGTGAATTTTGGGTAAAAGATATAACCGACCTAATGAACCCGAGTTTTTATATTCGTATGATAAATACTTAAGTTCATCTTTAGAAATACTACCCTGATCATATAAATCTTGAAACATTTTATTACTTTCTCCCACTAAATTACCCAATTTTTCATCCGCAAAATTCTCAACCTTAGTATAAACTTTATCATTTCCGAGTTGTAAATATCCTTCCGCTAAATAATCGTCTCGATCCCAGACAACCACACACGATCCCTTGTCCGCCGGTTTAATAATGACACTATTGTCCTCTATCAACGTTTTCAATATTTGCCACTCGTCTTTGTTTAAATTATGCTTCCATAAAGTTTTTAGGGGAACATAAAGTAATTCTTTTTCAATTTGACTAAGAAATAATTCTAACGCTGGACAGCCCTCTGGTGGCGTCCAGGTCGATTTAGGGCGAAAAGCTGGAATTTCGCTAAAGTCCGGCGTTACATTATCTTTAAAATGCCACTTACACCTCATTCTACGACTAAACTCTTGGAAATCCTCTCTCAAATCCATTTCATTCACTTTAAATGAAGTGGGTACAAATTCTAATCCTTTACCCAGTATGTTGATTTCGACATCACTTAAGATTTTGTGGCTCAAATTGAAAACGTTTTCAGAACAAAAGTAACCTTTTAGACGTCCGTTCTCACTCACGCGTATCCCACCCACACTACTTAACCCCGAGTTAATATTCAATTGACCTACAGTAAACTCATTATTATGTTCTGTCCTATTACCTGATGTATTGATAAGACCTGCTGTACTTAAAGTTATTATAGGTGGTTCATTGTGTTTGGAAGTCCCAGTGGAATGTTCTATCATACCTCTTACTAGTTTCGATGCTTCAGTGGTTTTCCTCATCGTTGGATTCAAGACTATTTCTGCATGTAATTCCACAACACAGCCAGTCTCATTCGAGGTGTTACTCGGAGCTCCACTCTCTGGGTCGTTAGCCCTATCTGTATATCCACTTGACTGTACTTCGTTTCGGTTGTTCTTGCTAACTTTTAGTGTGTTAGGTCTTCGTTTCCGATGCTTTCGATTGTCTGTGATATTTTCCCACCGCATTTTATTGTCGCCTTGTCTTGTTTGCCGTCGGTGATCCATAAACTTACGCCATTTCTTTCTTCGTCTGGTTTCAAGTCTGTTCTTATAAAACAAGTTCCGTTCGATAATTTTCCGTTTAAAATCCTCACGTTCGCTTTCTCCAGGGTGTTCTCGTCTCAAAATCGCATCTAATTCCAATCTCAGCGAGCAGACAACTTTCTGTGATTCATCATATAGCAATGTCACTAATTCTCGTTCCGCCTTGCAAAGCACTTTATTCCACTTCTGATGGAAATCTGTGGACATTGGTGTTATTTGTGCTTGTTGCTTAATTCGTAAACCGTATGGTGTAATAGCTCTTGATAGGCTCTCACTATAGTTGATGTTGTGATGTTCATATCGAAGCAATTTCTTGAAGAGGCGGTCGATGTTCTGTTCGGGTATAGCCTTCGGGATTGAACATAGAGAATGCGTAGCCATCCTTCGGGATTGAACATAGAGAATGCGTATTGAACATTATGTATAATATATTATTATACATATATATATATATATATACATATATATATATATACATATATATATATACATATATATATATACATATATATACATATACATCTATATACATATACATATATATACATATACATATATATACATATATATATATATATATATATATATATACATACATATATATATATATATATATATATATATATATATATATATATATACATATATATATATATATACATATACATACATACATATACATATACAGGGTGTATCAAAAAAAGCGCAATCCTCGACTGAAATGTAAATTGCTAAACAAATAATAGACGAAAACGTTAAAGTTTACATTCATTTTAAAGCGTAGCCATTCAGCTTTCTAACAGTGGGTTGTTT